GTACAGCAGGTACACGCTCGACTGTGGCCGGCTTCACTCGTTCACTGTGACGTAGGCGCGGGACCCGAAGCTTGTTGTCATGCAAAACTTGCTTGACATGGTGGAGCTCGGCAGCCAGGTGTTTACTGTCACAGATCCCTCGTGCTCTCTGAAACAAAGATTTACCCACGGTAGCTAACTGTGAAGGATGGTAATGAGAATCACCGTTTAAATATCTATCTGTATGGGTCTTTTTTCTATACACAGTATGGCTCAAGGTGTTATCAGGATTCCGAATTACTAACACATCTAGAAAAGCTAAAGAATTGTTTGCCTCTAACTCCATTGTGAACTGAATAATTATAAGTTAAGATGGTCTAAAAATGCAGTTACTTTATTTAAAGGTAGAATTGTGAAAGTGTCGTCTACGTACCGCTTGTAGAATCTTGGATTTATGGGAGAAGTAAGCAGGGCTTTCTCCTCAAAGTCTTCCATGAATATGTCGGCGACAATGGGAGATACAGGTGAGCCCATCGCTACACCATCTACTTGCTTGTAGAACTCCTCCTTCCACAATAGGTAGCCAGATGTAAGGCAGTGTCTGAGTAATACTGCATATTCTACGGGCATTTTGTTTTCTTCCAGCCTTCTAGTTACAATTGAGATGCAGTCTTCAACAGGTAAGCATGTAAACAATGACTGCACATCAAAACTGACCATAGTTTCATTGTCTGCCAGACGTAGGTCTTTAATCTCGCTGACAAAATGGTAGGAATCCTTTATGTGTGCTCTTGTATGTCCCCTGAGCGGTGACAGTATTTTCGCTAAGTGTTGAGCCAATCTGTAAGTTGGTGAATCGATTTGGCTCACTATGGGACGTAATGGAGCATTGGGCTTGTGTATTTTTGGTAACCCATACAACTTTGGTGATTTGGTGCACGTATCCATTTTACGGGCTAAGCTTTCCATTGGCGTCCGTCGAGTTGGGAGTTGATTATTTTTTTGATGTTGTTGATATTTATTGAAAATCAATTATTTTTGCAATATTTATGTCAATCCCTATCTCAGATTATATGATTTTTTTTACAGAAAGGTTACACTATTGTAAGCACACACGCAAAATTTCAACATGCGGAAACGCGTACTTTTTGAGAAAAAAATATTGAAAATCAATCTCCGCAACTTTTCCTTTTAAGGGGGAGTAGTACACCTCCCCCCCCCCGCCCCCGCTCACCCCCCTCCCACCTCCAATTCGACGGACGTCAATGGAAAGTCGTACCATTTTACGTCCAGATTTAATTTTTCGGAGTGTTTCTTTACGATGTCACTAGTTGTTTTTATGTGCTATTTGTTGGGTCGTTTTTAACCTTTTTTATAAGTGCTTACATCCGACAAAAGTTCTTGTATTTAGAATTATAATCTGACGTATCCATGACTACCGTGGCGTTTCCCTTATCTGCGCGGAGAATCGTGAGTTCTGGTTTATTGCGTAGGTTTTTAACGCAATAAATTTGTCTTTGGGAAGATTCGGTTTAGGCACTGAACATCGACGTAACATAGACGAGATGTCTTGACGTATCGCCTCCAAATATTGTTTTTAAATAAACAGTCCTCGACACTACAGATAATTTCTTCGTACGGTAATCTGCGTGGTGTTACTGCAAAGTTGAGGCCTTTGGATAAAACCCTAATTGTTGCATCATCCAGTGTTTGTTTTGACAGATTATAGAACGCGATTAATCTATGATCTGTGTTTGTCAATGGTTGCTTTTGGTTCCGGCATTGATTCGGATGTTTGACATTTGATTTGGTCGTTAATTTTTGATATTTTTCTATATGTTTGTTTTTGCATTCGTTATACTTACTGATTTCGCGTTTATTTAATGTTTCCATGCAAAAATTATAATCAAACGTCGTTCAAACTTTCTTTAATTCACTGGATAATGTGTCTATGGATTTATTTATGTCATATAGATCGGAGCGTTTTTGTTGGATTACCGTCCAAAAAGGACATTCGAGGAAGCGATAAGATCTTAAATCAGGCGAGTAAAAAGTTGTTACTGTCAGTATATATAAAGGTACTCTGTGGGCTACTGTTCACTTTTATAAACTAATAATCTTCCACTCACTAGATGTCGCTAGGTGGAACTGAGGTGAAATCATTTGTCTATCAAATATTTCACCTCATTCCGAAGAGGCGCCGCTGTACTGCAGACTTTCCGGGAAGTCTGCAGTTTGTGATCATATCCTAGACGGCCCCAACCATTACATCAGATTTGATAGACCACAAATCCTCGCGAAAGAACACCGATTCCTACCAAGGATGATACGTGAGGCTATTGAAATTAAAAAAAAATCCTAATTTCAATAGAGAAGGAGGCTGGGTACTACCACCTGCTTGGGATCCTATAATCAATAAAATTAAAACTAAACCCAAGCATACCACTGCAAGACCTCAGGACATAGTCAGTTCATTTTGCATAGATCGGACCATAAACAATAATTAAAAAAGCTGAAGGTTCTCCGGGTTTAACAATGACATCGGGACTTCAGTCATCTCAGTCCCCCGTGACCATGGGTGCTGGAAAGCGCCCGAAACGTCGGGAATTAAAAATAAAAAGTAAAAATAAACGCGATAAAATCCGTAAAAGTAGTTTTAATCATGTGCAATGTTCGCGTAAATGTAAAAAATCATTATATTAGTTGTACTGCAAACTGTTTGCTCCTTTGTAACCCTCATTCTATTAAAAAACTAAAAAGGATTAGAAAAACACATAAATGAAACATATCAATTTATTTAAAATGACTAGAATACAACAAATCTAGTTTTTTTTATGAAGGAAGTTATAGCCTGAATCACATCACAGAATAATTGTGTTCGGTGTTTTTTTTTTTATCTGACCACTCTATAACTGCCTTCACTTACAACAGAAGATATCACATAAAAACTATTTTATCTCTAAAACATAAAGTTGCTTAGCAACTAAGCTATGGACATATAAGATTACTGCTGATGCGTTTATTACATTTCGGTACAGAAAGCTTTTTATAATAAAAATGTTTTTTTTTTCAGCGTGAGTTTGGTAACATGATTTGTTAGTTGTTCTTTTGTAATTTAGTATATAAAAAATTGCTTCATTTTGTAACATAAACAAAGATTAAAATTTTATAAACAAATAACGTTTAAATCAATAATAGGCCAATAATTGACCAAGATCATAACTTATGTTAAGTTAGGAAAGGGTATAGACGGTAGACACGTCTTGTTTTTGCTTTATGTATTAATTAAGTAAAAGTACTTTAATTGAAAATACTTTTAACTAACTAACCACATGGTAGAGCCATACTGTAGCTATATTATGGGTGCAGCACAAATGGTATGACTTAAGGCTGTTGGAAAGGACCACGATCTTACAGAATATTAGCGCAAAATAGCAGTTTTATGCTGCTATATAACATGTGGTGAGTGTAGAGAATTGGAGACCCTTTTTACTGGTAATTAGACATTTTAACCCTCAGGGGTTGCAATGCATCTAAATTTCGTTTCGTAATCGAGGTTATATGTATATGTCTATGGACCACAGCATCCACCTACCATCAGGTGGACTGTGCTGTTTCGCTTGTCACCATTAATATAAAAAAGCATTATTTACAACTATTAAACATTTTTACAAATACAGATGTGTAAGTAAAATATGACACAAAGTGCCATTCATTTTATTATAAATAGACTATAGTTTTTTTTTATAGGATAAGCCTGACAAACGAGCACACAGTCCACCTGATGGTAAGTGGATGCTGTGGCCCATAGACATCTACATTTAACCTCGATTAAGAATTAAAATGCAGATGCGTTGTCACTCTTGAGGACTAAGATGGAATGCCTCGATTCCAGTAAAACGGGTATCCGGTTCTCTACACTCACCATACGAAACACATCATTCATTTCATTTCATTTGAAGGCCACGATCTTACAGAATACTCTAATCTTCTACCGCGTATTAACTGTACACATTTTTTTGTTCTGAGATCTGTCTATAAGCTCACAACATATTAAGCCTATTACATATTTGGGTTATAAACTTTTTACAATATATTTGCTACTTTAAAATCTGTATTATAATATAACGACTGAAATAAGCCTCTTAAAATATAAGCTTACTTAATTCCTATACAAAAAGAAACAGTCTTGTCTAGCATGAGGAATTTCTACAAAAACAAATATTATTTGAAAAATCTTGAAATTAGCCTAAAATTATTTACATATCTAGCTTTCTTAAACATAGCTCTGACTACATCAGTAACAAGTGTTTTACACTTGCTATCTGTAAATCTTTTTCGAAAACCCGCTGACGTTTTTCTTTTTAAGTCTAAACCACGATTTTTGTTCAGTCAGTCGTTTATTTTGGATTTTCCGGCGATAATTCGAAAGATTTGCTATATGGATTAGACTATTTAATACATCAGTTACAGCTACAAGCTATATACGTCCCACTGCTGGGCACAGGCCTCCTCTCATTTCCGAGAGGGTTTCAAGGCAAGGAAATGTCCGACGCCTTGCCCCAATGTGCGTTGGTGAACTCCATGTCTTATGTTATTTCTAATTTTTCAGACATGCTAGTTCACAAGGAGCAACTTTTTTATTATAACTTATTAGGTCAAAGGTATTAACTATTTCCCTACCATATTATACGCATATAACCCACATATTAACATATATAGACAATATAATAGACAACTATAAGGAAATAAAACTGTAACTTCTAAAAACTTTAAACAGCCATATTGCTTTTAAATCCCATTTATTAATTATTTTAATAAATGCAAAGCAATTGTATTTGAAATAAAAAGTACAAATATTAAGAACAGACAAAAAATTAAGACTACACCATATATAATCTATATGGAAACATTCGATTGCTTTAATATCACATACCTGTACACAAAAGTGTGCCTTATTACAATAACCACAAGGTGCTTTACAATCAGCAAGAGTCTAACTCTTGCCGATTGTCAAACCGTCAGTTACTGTGAATGATGCCCATAATTTGGCTCTTATGGTACACATAGTCCATGACCCGTTGTGATAGACCCCGCTTCCTCATCAACATGTAAGCAGCCTGTTCGAACTTGTGCTGATTCCTTCGGATGTAAGCGTTTGTGTCCGTTATCAGATTGTTCAGTTTCTCAGGATTGATCTCGTCCATAGCGCACTCCTCCATTAACGGGGGATTGAAACGGAAGTAACTGCCAGGTGGTAGCAGATCGTTCAGTATTAGATGTACTCCTGAAAGACAATTTAATCTTTTAAGATAGAAACCGCAGTTTAATTATTCTTTTTAGTTTACTCTACAGTAGGATATCAATATCTTCTTTTCATTAACTTCCCAGTTCTAAGTTGATGTAACGTCTAAGTCACAATTTTATTATATCTCTAAATTTTGAAGTTCATATATTCATTAATGAATGACGGCTCCATTTATAAATATTAAATAACCTACTAAAATAGTAATTATAATTAAAATAATTAAAGTGTGATCACCGAAAAAGATAATTTGTTCTATTAAAGGTGAGGCACCATTTTGAAGATTAAAATTAGATCAAGTTGGCATTTCTAAAAAAAGGATATTCCTTTATAAATGGGGTTTAAATCTATTACATATTATCTGCCATATTATAAGTTTCTTAAAATAGGTAATTCATTATAAGAATGTTCTGAAGGAGGTAAATTTTGTGATCATTCAATTGAAGAAGATATATTTAAAGGTTATAGCATTGAATTGCGACGCTGAGCGGGTAGACACGGGTTCGAATCCCGAATGTAAAAAAATATTTGTACAGCCTTGCATGAATATGGCCACAAATTGTTTCAGGTTGAGATTTTTCCCCATGAGCAATTTATGTAAATTTAATAAATCAAACCGAAAATTAATATTAGAAACTGAAGGTAGCCAGGCTAACTATGACATTGGTACGTCAAACATCTGTCCCCCCCCGTAACCATGTTCGAGACGTCGGGAATTTAAAAATAAGTGAAAGTAGTTACTTAAACGCGATAAAAATCCGTAAATAAAGTTTTATTCAATGTGTAGTGTTCGCGTAAATTTAAGAAATCATTACTGCATCCACGTAACATTTTAAAAAAAGAATAAATAAATGGATATTACGATATTTGCGTTAGGGGGGGGGGGCGGGGGTGTCTATGTGTGTGTTTAGTAAATCCATGACTTGTGCTTAATTTAAAGGATACTAGGAAAAAACATTGTAAACTGCTCTAATAAAAACCAACCTTCTGTATCCGTAGCAGAGTCCAATATCTTATTGAACTTGTCCTTCCAACTTGTGCCGGAAGTTTCCTTGCCTTTCAAGTCTTTACTCATGAGCTGGTAGTCCAGGTGTTTGTTCAGAGCTCTGCCGGTGCCCACTGATATGATTGTGCCTTTCTTGAGTGCATTCGCTCCGAAGAGCAGCTTTGCTTCATGTAGACCCACACCCGTGGGATTGTTGACCATGATACCGCCATCCTAAAACAATAAGTAAAGGTTTTAGATTGTGGTAGCTCAGGAGCTATGTGCTTAGCATAAATAGTAGATTTTGAAGTAACTGAAGATAAGGATATAAGGGAATAAAAATCTGCACTAGTAATATAGTAATAGCAGGAACAATAAAGTAAATTGTAATATGAACTTAATTCTTATAATTTTAATAATTTAACTCGTCGTAAGGAAGTATTACTTTTGATATAAAATACCAGCAAAATGATCATCCTAGTGTTTCTTGATGGTTCTTATCTGTAGAGGATAGAGGTCTTGTGTCGTGGCCATAGTAGATTTTCATGTTTATACGAATTTTAAACTGGCCCTTAGCCAATAATTTATCAACACTCGGACTTTGTCAGATAAAACTTTTAATATGTGTAGTGAGGTCACACCAATAATCCTATCCTATTGTTTTCCTAAGAATTAATAAAATGTAATTCCTTACCTGGTGTAGAGCGCCATCTCGTTTAAACTCATCGACGTAGGAGTTAGCATTGCTCAGTATATCAATGCGGTAGGGCGTGAGCCCACGTCTCCTTCCTTATCTATTGCAGAGCATCATCCAGTTTAAACTCGTCGAAGTAGGTGGGAGCGGCAGTAGTGACACCTAGATATACCTTACCTGGTGCAGAGCGCCATTTAGTTTGTGACACGTGATGTTCTTCATCTGGTTTGTGTCGCCTAATATTTCTCACTTGATGCAGAGCGCAATCTTGTTTGTGACACGTGATGTTCTTCATCTGGTTTGTGTCACCTGATGTTCCTCACCTGGTGCAGAGTGCGATCTAATTTGTGTCACCTGATGTTCCTCACTTGATGCAGAGCGCCATCTAGTTTGCGACACGTGATGTACTTCATCTGGTTTGTGTCACCTGATGTTCCTCATTTGGAACATGCAGAGCGCCATCTAGTTTGTGACACGTGATGTTCTTCATCTGGTTTGTGTCACCTGATGTTCCTCACCTGGTGCAGAGTGCGATCTAATTTGTGTCACCTGATGTTCCTCACTTGGTGCAGAGCGCCATCTAGTTTGTGACACGTGATGTTCTTCATCTGGTTTGTGTCACCTGATGTTCCTCACCTGGTGCAGAGTGCGATCTAATTTGTGTCACATGATGTTCCTCACTTGGTGCAGAGCGCCATCTAGTTTGTGACACGTGACGTACTTCCATCTGGTTTGTGTCACCTGATGTTCCTCACTTGGTGCAGAGCGTCATCTAGTTTGTGATACGTGATGTTCTTCAGTATCTGGTTTGTGTCACCCGATGTTCCTCACCTGCTGCAGAGTGCGATCTAGTTTGTGTCACCTGACGTACCTCACTTGGTGCAGAGTGCAATCTAGTTTGTGTCACCTGATGTACCTCACTTGGTGCCGAGTGCAATCTAGTTTGTGTCACCTGATGTTCCTCACTTGGTGCAGAGTGCAATCTAGTTTGTGTCACCTGATGTACCTCACTTGGTGCCGAGTGCGATCTAGTATGTGTCACCTGATGTTCCTCACTTGGTGCAGAGTGCGATCTAGTTTGTGTCACCTGATGTACCTCACTTGGTGCCGAGTACAATCTAGTTTGTGTCACCTGATGTTCCTCACTTGGTGCAGAGTGCGATCTAGTTTGTGTCACCTGATGTACCTCACTTGGTTCAGACTGCGATCTAGTTTGTGTCACCTAATGTTCCTCACCTGATGCAGAGCGCCATCTAGTTTGAACTCTTCGAAGTAGGTGGGAGCCGCGGCCGAAGCCCTAACTGCATGCCAGACACGTGCTCGCGTAGTTCCGGCGAACACGGAGCGCACGCGGAAGCCGCACTCGTACGTGCGGAACAGGAACGGAGCCAGGCGAGCGCCTGGGCTCACCACGCACGACACCAGCGCCATCTAGTGCACAACACACTTGATGACGTCACGTGCACACGACTTGCATATAAGAAATGACCGAGTATTAGCGGTAAGGATATTTGCTGCCCTATATTGTTCCGCGGAAGTAATAGCGGCGGGATTCTCCACGCACGACACCAGCGCCAGCAACACCACACCACGCTTCTTGACGTCACAAACGCACTGCATTTATTTAACAATGAGGGCTATATGTATCTCACACTCAGCAGATGTCGCTAATTGGGCCTAACTTAATGGTCACACAATGTCATTTTCCATTCATATTTTTTTACTTTTTTTCTACTTATAGAAATTACCCTAATTTTATCTATTTCTAATTAAATTAATATAACATATAACTTAACGTTCAGAAAGAAACAATCTATTTAATTTCCGGATAAATTTACTTCCCCCGCTATGAAATCTGTCAAATATTTCATATTTTTAAACGAGGTAGAGCCATGCTGCAGTTATATTAGTAGTATAGTTGTAGCATGAATGGGTCGGCTCAACCGAGGAAGGACCACGCTCTTACAGAATACCAGCGTCAAATAGTAGCTTAATGCTGCTGTGTTTCGTATGGTGAGTGTAGAGAACCGGAGACCCTTTTTACTGGAAACGAGGCATTCCATCTTAGTCCTCACATGTGACAACACATCTACATTTTGTATTATAAACGAGGATAGATGTAGATGTCTATGGGTCACAGTACCATCAGGTGGACTGTGTTCTCGTTTGTCATCCTATCCTATAAAAAAAAACTCATTACAAAGCCCTGCCAGCGAGTGGCAGAAACGGTTGATGGCCTAATTGATCGTGAAGTTGCGGTTTAAGAATACTACTCAGTACAGTCCCGTGAGTGTTGTAGCATTTTCCTTGGTAACTACCATAAAACATAAACACGAAAACGAAAACGTGGCTAATATGGGAAAAAAATATTTTGATATTTATTATTTCAAACTTATTGAATAACTGATATCATCCCATCTGTAACTGCTAATAGCAGTCAGCTAACAGAGCCTACTTCACCAAAAGATGCTTCGTGTAGGGACGAAACACAAGTAGTGGTGCTGGGATTACTGTATACTGTTATATATAATATTACTGTATCATATTATATAGCATACGCTAATGAAGGGCGGGAGGTGCTCTTCAAAGTAGGTAAGAAATCATTTTATTTTAATTACGCGGATCTAAACAAATTAAGGGCGCAATTACACTTGGTTGTTAGCCCTTATTCGGTTGCACGAAAGACGTTACTCGAATTCGGGCACCCGATGCATTATTTACATTGTTTTACTCGTCGTTGAAGTTATCTCTCTGTTGGAATAAAACCAAAACTAAAGCTGGAATAGATTGTACGAAGACGGGCGTACTCGACTCCGTTCATTTTCACTTAGTTGTTTGCCCGAATTACATAGGCAATGGAATACGAGCTAACGACCAAGTGTAATTGCGCCATAAGTTTTGATTTTTCACAACACCTTTAATGTAATAGATTTCCGCAAAGTAACGCCCGAGTCTATTAATTATGGTAACATTTAAGATTGACCAAATTACCTTAACAGCCTATGGTCCACTGCTGGAGATGAGTCTCGTCTGTAGTAGCAAACATAAGCACCTTTAACCCTGTTGCCTGTCCCTGGTCTGGGTATTTTACGTCTGACATAAATAATTTACACGTGGTAGAGCCATGCTGCAGCTAATTTGTATGGTTGTTGCATGAATGAGTCAGCTTTACCGGAGAAGGTCCACTTTGTCACTCAATACCAGCATAAAATAGCAGTTTAATGCTGCTGTGTTTTGTATGGTGAGTGTAGGGAACCAGAGACCTTTTTAATGGAAACGAGGCATTCAATCTTAGTGGCAACGCATCTGCATTTTGATTCTTAATAGAGGATAGATGATGATGAGATGTTTATGGGTCACCTTGAACCTATACGTGCATACGTTTTAATATATCACTATAAAAAATCAACGTGCCAAATCGACTGAGAAAAACGGACAATGACCTCAAATATGAGCCGAGTGTCAAGAGGCGTAACTTACAAAATCACAATTTAGATGTGATAACAATATTTAAATATTGATATTATTCACACTTCTAGGTCAGCACATATGTTTTGTTTTTTGTTTCTTAAATAATATTGTCTGTGGTTCCTATAAACATCGTAAAATCTTACGGTACATCGCGAATAATGTGTTACATTTTACATTTCAATTTATGGTAAGTAACGCAGCAATTCGTTTAATAACAATTTCATATTAAAAATATATTTGAAGCAATATAATCACCATATTGAGCTTTTGCAAATTCATCCCTTTAAAATAAACAAAACGCGCGTTACGTCAGTTCGTTCTAAAAGTAACGTGACAATGGCAGCCAGAGATGCGTCACCTTTTTTGGGCCGGTCCGCATGCACCGAATAAAAATAAAGTTCCTATACATTGAAAATAAAGTTTTATCTTTTGAATAAGTACGTACTTATTTGGTGTCGTTATCACTCGAATCTTTATATATGTGTGTTATAAATTAATGCTTTTTGTTGTTAAATGAATAAAGTACTTTATAACAATAGGTTTTTCTTCTACAGCTATCTTTTACGTAATTTTTCAAAAATAATTAATAAATATATATTATATCAATCATTATAAAAAAACAAAAAGTCATTATAAAGAAAGTACTACATATAAAATGTGGTTAAGCAACCGAAAGGTCATTGTCCGTTTTTCTCAATCTATTTGGCACATACTATATCAATATTAACATTTTTATACGCCGTAGAGCCACGTTACAGCTATATTATGGTTATAACATGAATGAAGGCATTCCATCTTAGTCCTCAGGGGTGACAACGCATCTGCGTTTTGATTCTTAATCGAGGATAAATGTAGATGTCTATGGGCTACAGCATCCACTTACCATCAGCTGCACTGTGTGCTGGTTTGTCACTCATATTCTATAAAAATTAAATTTGATGGTTTACACCCCCAATCGGAAACCATGAGATTTTTATGACATTTCTTTCTCATAGTTGCTTCTTACATGACCATTTTGTGGTGGATTTTCACAGCTCGGGTAATATCAACCCAGGCAGATTCCTAGGCAAAAGTTAGTTCTAGTAAACTACAGAAAACTTACTTTAGGCGTGTTGTATCGATTGCATTCCGTGAGGCTGCAATCCCTCAGATTTTCCTGAAGCAATTTCTCCCACGCCTCCGTATCATAATAGGAATGTGTCCACACTAACCGTGAAGTACCTACAACAGACGTAAGTACATTTTTTTAGTTCAGAACATATTTACATTACTATAGTGGTATATTCAATAAAACAATGTCATTTAAGTAAATTATTATCATTACAGCCCTTCACAAGTCCACTGCTGAACACAGGTCTCCCACAAGGAATACCACAAGCATAGTCATGAGCCAATTGCATCCAGCGACTTCCTGCAGCTCTCTCTATCTTACCAAATCATCACTCCAACTCATCTAAACAATCAACTCGCTTACCATGTTGTAGCAGTGTAAGAAAATCTATCACTCCTTATCGTCCCATGAGTGTCGTACGAGGCGATTATAGGATATGCCAGAAAGATTTCATTTTTCTGATTAGGAAGGTCGGAATTTTGGGGTTTTGTCGAGAGAAATAAATATTAAAAATAAAAAGTTTACTTTTCTTAATTAAGAAGCTACAAAAAGTGCTTTAATCGAAACTAATATAAGTACGCTTAGTTTTTAGGTGCCACATGTATTTGGTATTGGACTTCAATCGTCCATCAATTTGAATCCTTTAATAGTATTCAGAAAATATTTAAAATACTAACAAAATATAGCTCAGCTTTTATTAAATCAAAGGCCATACGTTAACTGTCGTGAGAATCTAGACGAATCCTGACCATCTGGCAAACCTACTTCCCATAGATAGCGGATCCACCTTGATTTTGCCAGACGTAATATAACCAGACCGACTTTAGATTTGTTAAATGTACATGTGATCAATAATTCGCCTAACAAGCATGGGGTTTAAGAGGATACCTTGAAAATGAGTCAAAGTTTTGGGGGCGTGGCTTATTCCTTTGTCGGTGAAGCTAACGGACGACTACGGGAGTGTCAAAACGAAAGTGATGCAATGACTTCATAGTGCGCAAATTATGAGATAGCCATACCGAGCAAGCGCTCGGAAAAAACAAAGTAAGCGCCAAACAACATTTTTATTTATTTTAACAAAACTTCGTTATGAATTAAAAAACTGGTTTATGAGAACTTAGATATGATAATTTACTATGCCTTAAAAATAATTCCATGAAATTATTCGTAAGAATATTGTGGTCATCGAGAAATGTAAATTATTAGAGCCTGCTTTGCAATTTTTTTCTATCGAGAAAATTATATGTGTTTTCCTTTTATGCAATCCAAGGTTATATAGTCAAAAATCATATACCAAAATTTTGGTATATGATTTTTGACTAACTATAATATAATAAAACTTAATAAAATATGTTAAATAGAAAAACCACCAAATTTTCGAGGTATCAACTAAAGTCAATGGCAGAGGCTATGTCCAGAAGTGGACATTTACAAGCAGACGAAAAGAAGCAGTTGTCAACAACCATATTAAACCAAATAATCACTTACCACCAATGAGTGAAGTATTTCCAAACATCTTTTTTGATAATGTATGGTACATTTGGCTTGCGGTCTCCAAGTTACCTACACCGCTCCCTACAACAAAAAAATAGTAAACTGTCTTAAGACCGCACAACTAAAGTTATAGCTTCCTTCAATTGCATAGGAGACATAATTCTACAAGTGTATGCGCTAACGAAAAGGCAATTATTTGTCCTAGCCTACTTATGTTTAAGAATACAACTGAGCTGCAAGAAATTTGAAGAATACATTTTCAATTTATATATTGCTCAGTCGCTGTCCGAAAGACCAAGTTAAGATAAAGAAACTTTATTTTTATTTATTCATTTATTTTTACAAAATATAGTTATTAAATAACATCCAACAGTACAAATAAACTTACAAAAGTTTTTCCATGTACCGCCGATTCGTAACTTCGACCAAAATTATAAAATAGCAAAATGTTTTTTTTAACTACTATGTGTAACTGATGAAATTAATTATAAATAAAAGAAAACAATATACTACTTGCAGCATATGAAAAGTCAGAAATGTGAGAAAACATCATCAAATAAAATAGAATATATTTCTTTCTCTATTGATGACAAGTAATATTTAATATTTATTGAAAGCCATTCATCATCATCATCATCATTACAACCCTTCACAAGTCCACTGCTGAACATAGGCCTCCCCCAAGTAATGCCACAAAGCACGGTCCTGAGCCACCTGCATTCATCGACTTCCTGCATATCTTAGCAGGTCGTCACTCCTTCTAGTGGGGGTCCCCTTCTAGGCTGCCACTCGAGAACCTTTCTTCCCCATCGGTTATCGGTTGTTCGAGCTATACGGCCGGCCCATTGCCACTTCAGCTTACTAATCCGTTGGGTTATGTCGGTCACTCTGGTTTTACTGCGGATAATTGAAAGCCATCATGCTTTACTATTGGTTTTGATAAAACCTCTGTCCTCGGAAGGAACCCTAGTGGGACGTTTAACAAAAACTTAAAATATTTAGATTATACAATAAATGTTTTATTAATACAAAAACCAACTCACCGATAACAGCAGCAATGATAGCGCCAGTGCTTACACCGATTATGTAATCAAACATATCTTGAACCCTTTGACCCGTAATCTTCTCTAAATGTCGTAATATTTCTATAGCTATAATGCCACGGATACCTCCACCATCTATGGATAGTATATTGGGTCCTGGCCCTTTAGTAGGCCCTGTGTAGCCCATTAACGCCAGGGCCTGCAAATGTCAAGGTTAATAAAATTTGATAAATATTTTTTCATGCCAACTTAAGTAATATTGGAAATTTAAATTACATTTACATTAAAAATTGCCAGAATGAAAATATGGAGACTGTTGATAACTCTCCATTCTTCCCACACACCAACAATCACCACAATCAGATAAAAGGGTCTATAACAGCCATTGATGGAATTGAAAGATTAAGTCCAACAGTTTCATATTCAATCAGCTATGTATGATGGATTGAATCAGAAATATTAAATTTCTTATTACATATGAATTATTAAAATCATAACGAATGTGCAAATCATATCTAATATACTCTATTTTCGGTGGTAAGACCTCTTTTCTGTATCATACCATCTGGCTAGGTATCCTTCTTTTACCTATTTCTAATGGTAAATAGTGTGGTAGCTCAGATGGTTAGCGCTCGCTGTAAATTTCACAGTACACGAACAACCGGGTTCAATCCCGCCGGCAGCAATGAAATTGTTGATTGCAATTATAAGTACTGATTTATTACGTGCCCGGCGTTGAAGAAAAACGGAATACTATAATTCATACATAATATAATGGGGGAGTGGGCGGAGCCCGTTTAGCCACTAAAATGTCACTAACATGTCAATTCACACGTATAAATGTCAACACGAGATGTGTTTTGACATAACAATCATTTCCAAGTTTCGTATGCAAATTATTTAGAAAATGCCTAATTGCACACTATTTACATATAAATATGTATTAAAATTTAAACGATTTTTTTAATGATGATTTTGAACATTAATCAAAAATGTGAAAATTTACTCAGTCTGTCAAAACAGCGAATCAGGTTTGTAGTAGTTATAATACGACGTAATTGTTTGTATGTGTGTTCCCGGCAACGCCGAATCTCTTACAAAATAAGTTTGACAGCCATTCTATTGTGTATTATAGTATTCTATGATGCATGTCTGAGAAATAAGAAAAAAAATATTTCGAAGATATGTGAAATTCGCCAACACGCATTGGGGCAGCGCGGCGGATTATTCCTTACCCTAAAACTTCCTCGAAATGAGCGGAGCCCAGGAGTGAGACATATATTATAGGCTGTAACTTTAACTTTTCAATAGTAGTACTTACATTGCGATGTTCCCGCCTGAAGACTATAGAGAGCAAGTATAACTAATGTCTGTGAGCCTTTCCATCTTAGTTTTTTTATAGGATAGGGTGACAAACGAGAACACAGTCCACCTGATGGTAAGTGGTTGCTGTGGTCCATGGGCATCTACATCTATCCTAGACTATGAATTAAAATGCAGATGCGTTGTCACCCATGAGGGCTGAGATGGAATGCCTCGTTTCCAGTAAAAAGGATCTCCGGTTCTCTACACTCACCATACGAAACACAGCGGCATTAAGCTACTATTTTACGTTGGTATTCTGTGAGAGCGTGGTTCTTCCCCAGTTGAGCCGTTCCATTTGTGCTACAACTAATAGAACTGCAGCATGGTTCTACCACGTATGTGCATGTAGTCCTCAGAGGCTACGACGCATCTATAGCCTAACTATTTAACAACTGAACATACCTCATTAACAGTTCCTTTAACCTCTTTCGTTGTTTGGGAGTCATCATTTAATTTATTTTGTACTCGTAATAAAGCACGAATAGCACCTTCCTGTAAAGAATTAAATACACCGATTAATGACATTCTTATTCTTCCTCTTCAGCTCAAAGTCCACTTTCTGACATAGACCTCTACAATTATAGGTATGATTTGCCTTGTCACCTTTGGCCTAGACCCGTTTTACTGGAATCGAGGCATTCCATCTTAGTCCTCAGGGGTGACAATGCATTTGCATTTGATTCTAGATAAATGTGGATGTCTATGGACCACAGCATCCACTTACCATCAGATGGACAGTGTGCTCGTTTAACACCCAATGCTTTAAAAAAACGTATAGCAGGCAGATAGACGACCACAGTACCACACATCTCACACCTTATACCCTGCTTACCGTCTTAGCTCTGGATATTCTACAACAGTCTCTGTCTTTTACAACAGACATATAATGTCCACAGCTAAGATGATTACACTACCATCAATTGAAAGCCACATCAAGATATTTCCAACATATTCCATAGTCACACAGCCACCCAGTCTGTCAGTCAACACCTCAGAGCATTAACTTGACCGCTTTATTGTCTAGTGGTCGAAAACGCGACTATGGAGCATAAGGTCTCCGGTTCAAATCATGTATTGGACCAAAAAGATCGAGAAAGTTAATGAGTTGAGCCTTTAGACTTGAGTTTGATCTCTCTATCTTTTCAGATTGCCTTGTTATCAGACTATGAGAGTAAGGACAGGGAATTCACTTGTGCTTGCGCACATAGTTTTGCATTGTAATTATATCCTGCGCAAGGTTAGTCTCTGTTGTGACTGGCAGCCATGATTAAAATCGCATTTTTCGATTCGAAATTTTATATGTCGTAGGGCCATGCTGCAGTTATATTAGTAGTAAAGTTGTAGGACGAATGGGTCGGCTCGACCGGAGAAGGGCCTCACTCTCACACAATACCAGCGTAAAATAGTAGCTTAATGCTGCTGTGTTTTGTATGGTGAGTGTAGAGAAACAGAGACCCTTTTTACTGGAAACGAGGCATTCCATCTTAGTCCTCACGGGTGACAACGCATCTGCATTTTGATTCGTAATCGAGGATAGATGTAGATATCTATGAGCCACAGCAACCACTTACCATCAGGTAGACTGAGAGCTCGTTTGACACCCTATTGAATAAAAATAAAAAATTTGATCTGAAGGACATTATTGTTATTATTAATGGCATTAAATTTTTGATAACATATGCATTAAACACCATATTATCAATCTTAAAACCCTTTTAAGTGCATTGCTGGACTTTTCATAAAATATTGGACATACATTGACTGCTTAGGTAATACCAGACACAGCACTTAAAAGTCATTAAGTCTTCAACAATCAATCTACAATAGCCGTGGTTTAGGGGCTTGGTGCTCGCCGTAAATATCATAGTACATGATCAACCTGGATTTTCTCCCAACGAAAGTGGCAATCGCGATTTTAAATGCTAATTTACCACATGTCCGACAGTAAAGAAAAATCTGAGGAAACCAGCATGTCCGAATGGCGGACACTTCCTTTCCCTAAGCCCACACAGAAACGAGAGTGAGCATGAGCATGCGCTCAGGAGTGGTACGTATATAGGCTGTCATCTTACTACTTTACTCAATTTATATAAAAAATGTCTAATATCACCTTAATTGCATAATCTCTAGATTCAGGGTACTGCTTCAAATGGTCAATGAAATGTTCAGTTCTTTTCATTAAGCATTCTGTTGTCTCAGCGGTCACCAAAGCTGATATAACGTAGGCTGTACGAGAGTGAATTGATGTCTGAAAATGAAGTTCCACAATTTAAAAATAACTGCAGTTGTAGATTAGAACATTTAAAGTAATAATAGATAAAGTCACATATAATAAGACTAGGAACAGCTAAATCTGTTATGTAGTAATAACTAAAAAGTAAACTAATAGTGGGTCTATACAGCACAGACATACTACAAACTGTTGTGCAGATATAACTCTGTGTGAGTTGCCAACAAGTCTGAACATGCTTCCACAGAGTGCATGTAGTCTGCTTTAACAAGCTTGTAATGTTCGCATGATATGAGATAAGATGCATCAACATCTGCTCAAACTTCAGCTTGCACATCTGAAGGTCGTCTCATTAGCACCAACTTAAATCTGCATAAGCATGCTGCGCAGACTAGTCTGTGGCATGTAGAACCACCATAACATTGATAAAAGTTTGAGCCAACCCATTCTTGTGCTCAGTGTATGTAATGAAAATATTGGAAATTATGTATTTTAAAATAAAACAAATAATTCATGTTTTGCATTATTTCACATAATGTTGTTTAATATTAATATTATGAATGTCATTTGTTACAATGTCAACCATCCAATAATTTGATATTAGATATATTATAATGTCCTTTTATATTTTTTTAACTCTATTAAATAGAAATGATTAGGCATTACCTGTAGCATATTATATCTATCTGTGCTAATTTATGGATGTAATCAGTGATATAATTTATTAGTTTGTTTTGGAATATGCATGTTGATATTACTGATAATTTAGTAGAACATTGATAAAAACTATTCATTTTATATTTTGTGTTTACTTATTGTGTTCAATCTATCTTCTTTATCATATTACCTACCAACAATATCATAAAAGAAATGAAAGTACTTTCTTCTGTTATCATTGCCGAATCATGTGACATGAGCATGCAGGAAGATGAATACAATAAACAGATAGTGGTTTTTCTGAGTAAGAAAATCAAATGTCAGTCAAAGTTTATCAGTAGTGTTATGCTAAATATATTATCATAATACTTTGATATATTTTAAACAAAATTCAGTATTAACTTGATAAATTTTAATTATTTTAGGGTGATAATTTTTTGTCTCATTTGTATTACTATGATAAAATGTATAGCCTTTGACACTTCATGGACAAAATGAAGCTATTATCAGCAGTTTGCACAAAAATCTTTAGGATGTTTACACTATGGGTTATAAGGATGTTTACACTATGGGTTATAAGGATGTTTACACTATGTGTGATAAGGATGTTACACTATGGGTTACAAAGAAACAGATACATAATACACTTAAAAGCCCCTTTTCTGAGGAACTCAGAGTCAGGTAAGAGTTGAGAATATAGATACAACACAAGATGCTGCTATGGTATTTTGATTCAATGCAATGTGTTCCTTATTCAGAGCTATTTTTCAAAGAGTAGCCACATTACTTCAAATATAAATACAATGACACAGTGTTATAGCAGTTATTGAAAATACGAATGCCATCAAAAACATAACTTGTAAAAAAAAAACCAAGTCTCGCAACTCAGTTCTTCTACCGTAAAAAGTTGTGAGATCCATGTAATACCAAGTCTGTTAATTTATTCAGTCCCTACAACAATCAAAACAAAACAAAATCTTTTATGTTTTAAATATATAAGTTGACTTGGCCATCGTATGAAAACGCAACGTATCTCACAAGTAATATATATTATATTAAATTAGGTTGCTTAATGCTATTGCCAAGTCAATCTATGTATTTAAAACATAAAATTTTTTTAACATTGGTATGGTCACTATAAAATGTTGTTAGGTTAGCTAAATACATAATAACTTAAAACAGAAGGACCCTTAAAACAGAAGGAGTAGGGACTGAATAAATTAACAGACTTGGTATTACATGGATCTCACAACTTTTTACGGTAGAAGAACTGAGTAGCGAGACTTGTTTTTTTTTTTACAAGTTATGTTTTTGATGGCATCTCATTTCTTTTTGTAGACAAGATAGTCCTAGTTATTTTCCTTTCCGGTACCTTCTACTCCTTGAATACCAACAACGTACCTATCTACACCTATTATACATATACAAGAACACTGATTCATTCACTGCAAATGTAACTTTGTAATTCTATATATTTATATGGGATTACAAAGTTATTCATGCAGTTGGTGTATCTAGAAAACTGGACCGAAATTTAAAAATATTTTAGTTTTTCCTTGATTTATACACTAAACTTTAATTGTGTTCTAAATTTTAAGCTTCTATATCGGCTAAACGTGTCTTAAAGTTTTGATGATCGGTCAGTCAGTGAGTGACAAAATTAAGAAATTTAACTAGTTATAATTCTTAAACTACTGATTCAAATTAAATTAAATTTGAAATATACCATATTTATTTAATGCCTACTCGGTTCCTGAAAATTCAGGCTTCTAGTTTTATCCACTACGAAGTTATAGGGGGTCAAAAATGGCCTGAATTGCTTCGAGAAAAGTATGGTACGGCCGTGCCGCTTTTTTCCTCGACTTGGCGGGGGCACTGCTGTGCCCCCAGATGAGTAAGGCTTCTACTCTTTTTCAAATTAATTCAAATTTAATGTGACTACAAGCAACAACTACATGTATAGGAACTTCTCTGTGTGCAATTCAATTCAGAATGTTTTTGCCGATCAATCAACCCACATGAATGTGTGTGTGCATAGTAAAATAAAAGCCCTTAGATATTTATTAATGACAATCAGTTAAAATAATGTGTCACCACACATTCTGAATTTAAAAGATAAGGAAAACAATTATGGCAAATGAGGCAATCTACAGGGCCTTAATGAGGCAATCTGCGGGGTATTGATGAGGCAATCTATGGGTAAGGCCTATGTTCAGCAATGGAATTGTGATAGGCAGAAATTAATGAATGATAAATATTAATACTAACCTTGGTGATAATAGGTTTATTTGACCTCCAACTTGGCTCTGATATTTTCCCAAAATGCAGATCCTTCTTTAATTTTAAACCTTGTAAAAAACCCTCAAATGTGATTTCTTTTGCCTCTGAACCAATACCAAGTCCCTGATGACTTTGTTTTTCCTCTGTCTTGTCAGTTACAGGCCTTGTTTCTGCTGCCTTTGTATCTGATTGCTCAATTGTTGATGAATTTGCAGTATGGAGAGGTTGCAGATCTTTGGTTTTATTTTCAGCGACTTTGATGTCTTGTGTGAGTCTGATGGAGATGGCCTTCTCGAATTTCTTTATTAAATCTAAAATGGAAATGTGGATATTACTTATGTATTAAAAATTTAACTAAAAATGTAAATTATTACAAAAATTACATTCACAATCTCTGAAATCACTAAATATTATAAAATGCTATGAGGATTTTACTACCCAGATAGATTTTACTCAAGACATTATATAAAATGAAAGAATTACGAGATTGTAAAAAAGGTAATGCCAATAATAATAAAACATAATAATTTTATAAGAAAGAAAACATTACATGAATCTAATTACTTTTCAACAAATGTTTGCAGTAGGTAAAATTATAAACAAATAATACATAGACGTAACAACAACAACATAGAAGCTGTGTAAAATAACAAAATAGAGTGTCAACTAACTTCGTATTAAAATCGTATTGACCAGATTAAAATTTTTGGATAAATAAACTTACTCTCCCATTGTTCCGGCGTAGCAGGCTTAATTTTCTGCAACAATTTCTCTGCTTCAGCGTTCAAATTGGTCATTGACAAATAGTGGCGAATGACTCGCCATTGTCCACCAAGGGAAGACATTTTCCAATATTTTATCACAGCTTCGAGGTTTTCAATGAATTTTATTATATAATAACGTCAGTTAAAAATGTGATAATTAGCTAGTCTTCACAGTATTAATCGCAGTTGCGCAGTCCCGAACACAGTTTTCAAGTTTTATGAACAGCACAGCTAGGCGTAGAATTTTCTAGATATGGATATCACTAGCAAAGTCAAGAATTCTGCTACAGCACTGGGCACCACCAAGCACAACCACAATACTTCTATCACTATTCATCTATCAGGCAGAGCCTTGGCAAATAAAAATATCACAATTTAAAAATAGACCAATTCAATGACAGAATTCGCACCATATGACGTAAAGTGGCGCGATCAGTGCTACCAACGTTAGAAAATCATAATAAACAAATCCAAATCCATTCATTCACAACAGTTTTCTGACAGTTGATAAATAAATTGTACCTACACAAAGAAAATATTGAAGGAACTGGTATGTACTATGTAATGTTGCTTCAAGGAGAACAAGAATCTAACTAAGACAGCAGATAAGCGGATAACAACTTTTATAGTATTATCAAAACATGTTTGTTTTTTAAGAAACTTCGCTAATTGCACACGTTCTACGACGACGTTATGCACATGGACCACACCTCCACGTAGTGCGACGTAAACTTATTTGTAAACAAAAATCGTACGATTTATTTTTGAGACTGTTCCAATTCAAATTTCGTGGAACTAATAATAACATCAGCATTATGACATAATAGGTATCTTAATAATTTATTTATATGTATTGCAGGCATATTTTTCAACGTGGTAGAGCCATGACACTAAAAGAACTTTTGTTTAGCAAAACACCGGCTTTTGATAAGCCTCGCGGTTATAAGAAATGTTTAAATAAATATTTTGATTTTAATTATGTAAACAAACGACTTATTTTATGGGTAGCTCGTAGTCGTCGGCATCACTATCAAAGATTTGAGTACGTGGTATTCCATGTAATAACTCATAATATACAAGCTCGTTCGTGTTGTCGTCTGCCTGGGTTAGTGCCCAGCAGGTTTCGGGCCTCGGAGTATATCCCTTTAGCCGGGCTTTCCTCACGGCCCACTACAATGGGCCGGTCCTGGGTGCCTTATATTAGGCGATATCTAGTTACTGGCGGCTGTTAGCCACAGTCGGGTAATTCATAATAAAAGGAGGTAATCTTGTTAGTCAAAGTTGGCCTTTCTGTGGCATTGTGGGTTTACTCGACTCTCTAATTTATACAAAGAGGAGTTCTCTTGGATAGGGTCGCCCGTCCGGGGGACGTGTATGTTGTTGAGGTGAGGATGAGGGCCACTGTCGGCGCGGTTGAACATACCATTAACAGAACCATTACCAGAACATGCCAGCCGGACCACAAATTTTTCTATAGTTTCCATTCTAAGGTTCGCCGCTATAACGTCGTTCCAGACGTAGCGACCTGCACCGACAATGGTCCGTAATGACAAGTTCTGCTGGACCTGCAGTCGACGCTTCTGTCGATCGCTCAGGAGCGCGTACCAGGCCGGAGCAGCATATGTTAGTAAAGTTTTTATATATGTTTTGTAAGTTGTAGTTTTCGTTCTGGTTGGCAGCTTGGATGTCAGTACTGGACGGAACATCGCCCGTGTACATCTGGCTTTGCGGACGACGAAGTCGACGTCCGCGGTCATGCGCAATATCCTGTCGATCCGGCACTCAAGGTCGGTCACGGCCTTCTCGTACGCAATCTCCTGGCCTCTGAGCGTGAGTGGTGGTGGGACTGGAGACAGACAGCTGACCTGTGGTACGCCGGCGCTTTTGGCTCTTATGGGCCTGGTTGCGGACTTGGCGTCCTCTACACAAACGTAGGGCCTCCTGTCTGCGAGGAGTGACGCCACTAACAGCAACATAGCAGGAGGGATACTTTGGCTCAACAAATCCTCCAACCTCCAGAAAAAACACTATACATAAACCACTCTCCTGCAAGCGGTGGCGCGGGCGCCGGTAGAAAATCCTGTACGCGGTTCTCCTTCCGGGCATGAAGCTCCATGAACTCCGCACTTGCTGTGTTCGGTATAAATTGCTCCTCGAAATGCTCTACTAGGATATCTTCTCTACCTTTGGCATCATAACATCGTTCGCCCGCATTGTTGGTCAGCGGACAAACGGGAGGGCGAGTTTTCGTTAACTGCCGTTTCAATTTGTAGAACGACGCATCATGCTCATCCGCTTTCCAGATGCGTCGCTCCCAGGCCTCTCCTCTGTGGACCTAGTTGCAGCCGACAATCCATCTGTAAGGTGGTTTAGTTTAGCTTTCAGTCTGGGGCAGCGAGTGCTTGTCCAGAGCTTTCTCAGCGCTTTTTTATGCTTTAACTGCACGCGTATCTCTCGCGGCAGCTCGTCCTTCCTTCCAGAAAGAGGGACGATCTTAGAACTAGCGTGCAGGGCCTCCTGGATGCTCTTGGAAATTCTAGTTGCAGCGGCCTCTACGTTGTCCGCTGAGTTCATCGGGATGTCATCTGGAGGTCTCTCCTGCAGATTTTGTTGGTACCTGGTAAGTGGATGCTATGGCCCATAGACATCTACATCTATTCTCGAATAAAAATCTAAGTATAAATGCGTTGTCACCCCTGAGGATAAAGATGGAATGCCGTTTCTAGTAAAAAGGGTCACCGGGTCTCGGTCTCCGGGACAATCACACCATATCCAAATACGAAAAACAACCATTAAATGTGAAATTTAATACGAGCACATAACCCACCGGATGGTAAGTGCCTGCTGTGAATTATGACCACCTACATCTATCCTCGATTAAAAATCAAAACGCAGATACGTTGTCATACCTGAGGACTAATATGGAATGTCTCTTTAGCACTAAAAAGAGGCTACGGTTCCCTACACTCACCATACGAAACACAGCAGCATGGAATTGATATTTAACGTTGGTATTCTGCGAGAGGGTTGTACTAGCCTTAATATAGCTACAGCATGGCTCTACCACTTTGAAAATATATAGGTCGTAATAGGTGCTTACATAAATTTTATACGTGGTAGAGCCATGCTGCCGTTATGTCAGTAGTATAGTTGTAGCATGAATGGGTCGGCTCAACCGAGGAAGGACCACGCTCTCACAGAATACCAGCGTCAAATAGTAGCTTAATGCTGCTGTGTTTCGTATGGTGAGTGTAGATAACCGAAGACGATTTTTACTGGAATCGAGGCATTCCATCTTAGTCCTCACGGGTGATGACGCATCTGCATTTTGATTCGTAATCGAGGATAATCGAGTCTATGGGCCGCAGCAACCACTTACAATCAGGTGGACTGTGTGCTCGTTTGTCACCCTATCCTATAGAGAAAAAAAAACCAAGAAAAAAGTGTTAAACCCGGAACAATTATTTATAGGCTATCTGTATAAACACAATAAATGAACCAGCCAGCACCTTTATAAAGCTTTTTATTGTTGTACGCAAAAACCAATCATTTAGCCACAGGAAATGTAATTATTATATGCTTAATAGTTTAGTGACAGGAAAATTAGTACTAAGTACTTGTTCAGTTCGGGAATCGAACTAGCGGGAACTCAGCAATAAAATACTTAGCTGTGCGCTACTGACACCTCAATAATCTCCATCTGGCCATACTTTATATGTATATAATTAATCGACTAAAAATACTAGTACATAGAATTAAATATTTAAAATATTGTTGGTCATTATTCAACACATAAGTACATACATTACATGCTATGAAAACTTCCGCCTTTCATTTTAATAACACTGCATTTAAAATACAATAAACAGTCGTTTGTTTTCCTACTTGGCACGTACACACGTAACGTGATAATATTTCAATTTCAAGACGTGAGCCGTAGTAAACACTCGAACTTCCCCGTAGATATATTCTTTACTCCACTAATCTTTACTCTTAGCACAGATTAAATAATGTTACTACGTAACTCTTAGCTCGAAACCATGCTCGAAAACATTCGACAACTGGCATCATAGTTATTTATAATTTTAAGTGCTGATTCACTCTGAACTCGTTATATAAAGAAAACATCGTGAAACATGCATGCCCAAAACATAAATAATATTGTTAAATTTTATCTAATACCTATAATACAAAAAACACAATTAGGCAGAATTGTGGTTTTTGTATCAAAAATATCTCTTTCTACAGTATTTGTTTTTTCAAAATAAACGATAATAAATATCAAGAATAAGTAACAATTAACGTTAAATAGAAATATCAATTAACTCGCGAAATAAAGAACAAATTTTCTTACCTTCATCCAGAATTAAAATGCTAAATTGCAGCATACTATATGGCAGTTAAATTTTTTAATAAATAACCTCTGAATATTAGAAATGAAATGTCGCTTCCATTTATGTAATATAAAATTCAATTTTATAAAATTCATTTTGGAGGAATATACAAAATGAAACTACTCATCAATAACAATATTTTTTTATTATTGCGTATTTTTTTTAAATTAATTTAAATAATTGTTTAATTATTATAGTAGTTAGTACCAGTTCTGGCTCACTGAGTCAGAAGTGAAACAACGTTCGTCGACTCACGATCCAAAAAAAAAAAGGTTTTGGCATGCTCCTGATCACGATTCTGCGGTCCGTTTTTGCGTAGGATGCACGGTTTCGGAGATGTGCAGATCAATTAACTCTTATCTAATTGATATCCGGTGAGGGCCTCGCTCCATTGTTCTTATCTATTTATCTATTGTTAATTGAATACCGTCATTATCTATTCTTCCTCAGCGTGTGCGTCGGATTATCAGTGCTTTTGTATTATACTCCTTTGTTCCTAACTGCAACGCTAATCTGAATCATCAATAAAATACATTTCCTAATTTTATTACAATTTTTATTTACAAAATACAAAATCTTATTACTTATTATCTATAAAATAGGAGCGAAACATCTCATCCACTAAAATGTCGTTGTACAATGTGTTCCCTGTAAATATACTCGTAAAACTCCATTTCCATCTTTCAT